GACTCCTAAATGAAGATACTGGGGGACTTGCTGGAAGAAATCATTGGTAGATAGAGGTCCCAGAACTGATGAAACCAAGGCAGCCGTAGTCACCATATCTAAGTATTAGCGACAATATCTATGGCCAAAAACCAGTTGGGTAAGGTGGAATTAGGCACTAAATGTAGGTGTCATCTACGCAGGATCAAAGTTTCACTGAAAGATCAAAGTTTCAAACTATAGAAAAGCCTGTGACAATGAAGTAAGCAGCCGTGTTTACAGCCTGTTCTTCCTGTCACCTCCCCCACCCTGCAAACCCCTCTTCACACTTGGCCTAAATCCTGGTTCTTACCCCCCATTTGAGATGCTTTGCTTTGAGTCCACCTTTGGCCTCAGAGACAGAAAAGGTTCTGACTCTCTTCAATTCTTCTTTATCCATAGCTTCATTCCGTGTACAGCCCTGAATGATTGAACTGACCTTCCTGTTGCCCTTTTCCTATGATTCTTCTTGGCTTCTGCTCAGTATCAGCTGACACTGGCTGGACTTTTCCATAAGACTTCCCACTAAGTCCGCAGAACCCATGAACACCCAGTTTAAAAATAAGAAGTGGAGGGCTGGAGCAATAGCACCGTGGGTAAGGCATTTGCCTTGCACGCGGCCGACCCGGGTTCAATTCCCAGCAACCCATATGGTCCCCTGAGCACCGCCAGGGGTAGTTCCTGAGTGCATAGCCAGGAGTGACCCCTGTGCACCGCCAGGTGTAATCCCAAAAAGCAATAAAAAAACAAGTGGGGGTGATGAGTGTGAGTGGGTGGAACAAACACAACACATCGAAGCCAAACTTCCTTTTCTCCTTGTCTCGGGCGCACCATGCAAAATGGGCCATGCTTCATTGAAGGGATGTGATCATTGGTCCACTTGCCAAACAATTCTCTCCCTGTGTACAGTTCTTTATTTTCTTTCTCTTACTTTTGACTCACTCTAGGCAGCTGTCCTGCTGCGTGTTGGTATGTTTTCCTTTCAAACCTCTGCCACTGAGTACACATGCACTCCACTTCACATCTCCTATCTGCCTCTCATCCCCTGCTTTGTTTCACTCAGCCCTGGGATTCCGAGCGGCCCACATGCGGCCTCTACCCACTACTCTCTCAGTGCATTCAGCAGTGGACATGCAGGTCCTCCAACGCCCTTCCTGTCACAGTGCCGTGAAGAGAAAGCTTATGCCAATTCCCTTAATGTTTGTTGTGAAGGCAGAGAGATTGAAGAGGGGTTAAAGGCATTGGCTTTGCATGTGGTGCCTGAATTCAATCCCTGGCACCGCTTATGCTTCCTATGACACCACCACGGGTGACTCCTGAGCTGAGAGTCAGGAATCCCTCTGAACAATGCTGGGCAGTGTCCAAACCCCCCTCCCCAACACATACTAAAATATTAGTGTGGGAATTTTGGGGGGGGGGGCTTTGGGGCCATATTTGGTGATACTCAGGGGTTACTTCTAGTTCTGCACTCAGGAATCACTCTGGACAGTGCTTAGAGGACCATATGGGATGCTGGGAATCAAACCTGGGTCGTCCATGTGCAAGGAAAGTACCCTATCTACTGTACTATCTCCCCAGCGCCTAGTGTGGAAATTTCTCCAGGATGTACAAATAAAAGGAATCTGAGTTCTTTTTAGACAGTGGTTAAAATGTTCAGGCTTGGTGGGCAGAATCACAGGTGCACAGAATCACCCCAGAGAAGGGAGCACCGTCCAAAGGGAGTGCAGGGGAGGTAGATCCTCGAATGTTTAGGAAAGCTGCCAGTGGAAGGCATCCGAAGTGCAGACATGACATCTCTGAGGTGAAACTCAAAGTTGGAGGAGGCAAGGGTTCTGAAATCACAGAACCCCGCAGCTTTACGGGGCCACACCTGCTATCAGGAGCACCGTGCCCCTCCCTCCTTCCACCCTAGGGTCTGAGTGTCTAGCCCCAGTCACACCCACCTACCTGCCTACCTGCCCTCGGGGTCTATTTCCACCCTCCCCTCCACTGCCTCTCTTGCTCTGCAGCTTGGACACCACATTGGCAAAATTTCATCTTGCACAGAGGCTACCCCACAGTCACTGGAGACAGCCAGTGTGTGAGCTCCACCTTCCCTCACTTCTGTGGGACTTTTGATCCTCATTCCTCTTCTGGACATTCATCACAAGCTCAGGCAGCCTTCCTGGCCCAATAGGAGCCGAACTGCTCTCCTGGGAGCCACACTAGGTGCCCTGGTGGAGGAGGAAGCTGCTTGCTGAGATGCTTAGGCTGCCGGGCTCCATTTGCATGAATAAACAGTTCTAAATGGTTCCGTTGAAGCTTTTATGTAAACACTCTCCAAAATATGTTCTGCACTGCATTATCCCCAGCAATAAAGATTCTGAAGTCAGAATTTGGCTGTCAGTTTTATTGATGTTACATGGGGTACAGTAGAAAGCAGCCTTCTCTTCTGGAAATTTATTGACTAGGCAGTGCAGAGAGCAATAAAACTGTGTTTTTAATCAGTAAACCAAGTGGTCATGATTCCAGAAGAAATATAGGAAGCAAACATGCCACCGGAAGAGGATTTCTTCCCTCCCTCACCAACCGCCCCCCCCCCCACACACACACACATACTCTTCCTGCTCTTCTTCACTGTTTGTTAAATACATTTGGGCATAGAATGGTTTTTATTAGGTGGGGCCATCTGCAGGTCTAGCACCAGATCACTTTTTGGTTTGATCATCTCTGAGAGACTATTAACTGAAATCATTTGCTAACAACGTTTTGTGGCCTTAGCCTCTATAAGGAACCCTTATAGAGGTGAGCTGCTTTGAAGAAGAAAGAGTAAGATTGCGAACATTCTTACTCTCCCCAAACATACACCCTGTTCTCATATTCCTGAGGTAGACTTTCCCCTAAATAATCTACCCCCCATCTCTATACCTGTCGTTGGATTCAAATCTTGTACCACTATAGAAACTTGATCAATGTTGTTTGGATACAAGCTGGAGAGATAGTACAATGAATAGGGTGCTTGCCTTGCAAGTGGTCCACCTGGGTTCAATCCATGGTACCCCCATATGGTCTCCCAAGTCCCATCAGAAGAGTAAATTCTGGCAACGCTCAGTGTGACCCCAAAATCAAAATTTAAAGAAAAATCTGCACCAAAGTTGATTGAACAATCCTCACTGCTTTTCAGATGCTTTCTCCTGAGCCATCTTAACCCTCGCTTCCCTTGGCCCTCCAACACCAACCTCTTGTGGTTGTGCAATTGCTGAGTAATCACTCTTCTCAACTCTTATGTAATGTATGACCTTACATTCAAGAACACTCAGAGGGGCCAGGGTGATAGTATGGTGGGAAGGACATGTGCCTTACACAAGCCCACCATAAATGATCCTGAGTGAAGAGCCAGGAGTACGCATTCAGCACTACTGGGGATTGGAGGGGTGGGGAGGGGAAGGAAGAGGAGGAGAAGTAGGAGGAAGAGGGGGGAGGAGGAGGAGGAGGAGGAGGAGGAGGAGGAGGAGGAGGAGGAGGAGATTATTCCTGAGGAAAATGCTTTAAAGATGTTTCCCCAAACTGGCATGAGATGCTCATGTGATTTAATAATAAGAGCAAATAAGACTGAAATGGGCTGCCTGGGAAGACAGTGTAGAGCAAGACAGGGGAAGCTTCCTTTCTCCTACACACATTGCTTCCAATTCTGTTTCACCATCCGTTTCTCCACTTTACCCAAAACAACATTTTGGGGGCACAGTGGTTCCCAAGCACTGCTCAGAGGGCCCAGGGCCACTCCCGGTGACACACAACAAAGTGAGCAGTATAGCTCAGTGCTTGGCTGTGACCTATGATGCTGCTCAAGCTTAGAGACCCTCAGGGCTATACATTGTTGTGACGGAGCGGGTCTTGGGGAGGGGGTGTGGTGGAGGGGTACAAGACTCTGCCGGGGATCAAACAAAACAGGTGTCTGCATGCAAAGCAAGTGCCCCTGACCCCTTTATTACATCACTAGCACCCAATGTAGCTTCTTTTTCATCCCCTCCCCCAGCTAGTATATCAGGGCTACTTTTCTAGAACTGTGTACTACCTACTTAGCTCTGTTCTTTACAGGGATTATCTTGACAAATACTATCACAATCCTGCCACAATCCTGTGAAACAGGACAGATGATTAGGATGTTAGAGATGTAGAAATTGAAACAGGGAACTTAAATAGCATGAGCAGAGTCCGAGAGCCAGGTACTGGGAGAGTGGGGATTTGAACCTGGGTGTGTCTCTTCCCCAAGTTGAGGATCACTTGTATCACTTACCATCCCGTTGCTCGTCGATTTGCTTGAGCAGGTGCCAGTAGCATCTCCATTCATCCCTGTTGCGTGCTAGTGTAGCCCAATGGCGTCTACTCGCTCCAGGAACACAAAGAACCTCAAACAATTTGTTCAGGGTCTTGATGAAGAAGTTTGACCATCTCATAGGTGAGCGGCCAAGAGTTCTTTTGATGTCCCATGGATAAGTTGAGGATATTAGCCACAAAATTACACACTCTTTGATAGAGACCATCAATGAGTCAATAACATATCTCTGTACAAATATGAGTTTAAACCCAACCCAGTTACTAAAATCTTTGTAGTCTCTCTCTGTATGCCCCTCTCTTATACACACACACACACACACACACACACACACACACACACACTTCATTCATAGACTTAAATGGCAAAGGCACCCTATCTTTTTTTTAAAATTTTTATTAGTGAAACACCATGAGGTACAGCTGTACAAATTTTTGAAAAGGCACCCTATCTTAAATGTTCTTATTTTGTTTTTTTGGGAGCCACCAAAGTGCTCAGGGGCTCCACCTGGCTCTGTAGTCACCCCCAATAGCCCTTGGGAACCACGTAGTGTCAGACATGGAACCCTAGCCCTCTATATGCATAGCACACGTTCAGCCTGCTAAGCATCTCTCCAGCCCCTCTAATCTTAAATTTTAAAGTCTTCATTTTCCTTTTGTTCCCCTAGATTACTCACCTATCTCCCCATCAAAGTAATTCCATCTCAAGCTTTCAGAGGACTTAATGAGGTCATAATAATGTAAGTAAGATTCTGCGTATAAAAAAGACATTCATAATTGGGATAATACGTTCTTAAAAATAAAATATAATTGAAAGAAGAAAATTTTTTCTAGGAGAAAATTGTGATTAGAAAATCTAGTATTTTTATCTTTATAATACAATAATATCTAGGGACCTTTGAAAAAAAAGGTATGATTTTCAAGAGTCATTAAAACCAGATAATTAACCTTGCTTCAATGAGCTGAATGCATTTTGATAAGTGATGATAAACTTCTCAAGTAGAAAAGTAGATTCCAATCATAAAAATTCTCCTGCGAGAGCAGCTATTCCCTCATGCCACATTTTTAGATAATACCCACATGTAGAGGAAAATATGTTGAAAGTTTATTGCATATCAGATGAAAATCTTTATATCTAAAATATAATCAATGTACAACAAAAACACAGTATACATAGCAGTATTGATAAGAGGCATTAATCAGAAGTGTGAAGCATTCTAATAATGCAAGGTAATCTCACATGACCTATAACTTCAATCCTTTGACCCTGGGTCCTGTATAATAAGAAACCCTGGATTTGAAGAGAAAATCTCTTCAGGAGTTCAGTATTTCAGAATGTTAATGTTAGTCTTCCTTAATGTTAGTCTGAGGCAAAGAACCTCAAAGGATTGAATTCCCAATGAGCACCTCTGATCTTAGGCTTTGGAAGCAAATCTGCATCTCAAATAATGCTATCCTGTCAATCCCAGTGCCTTGGACCTCTGGGATGCTTTTCACAGTATGAGCAAGCAATGAGTCTACGAAAAGTAGTTCCTGAAGAATGAGTGTATAGTATAGGAAATACCTTGCAGGTTGCAGAAATGTCCATTTGCTGAGTCTAACTCTCACTCTCCTGCTCTTGAGTTTAAATGTTGCATTTTGATAACTTTTAATACATTAAGACCTCCTAGTAAGAGAAGCAGCCACAGTGAAATAAGCAAACCATTAGGTAGAAATAAGACGAATCTGGCCAGGAACAGTTCCATACTGTGCTTTTTATGAAAGACTGGCTGCATTAGGTGCTGCCTGTCCCATCAAATTTGAAGCCTTCACTGGGTGTGAATGTTAACCTTAGAACAGGCAAATGTGCACTTTGTGATCTCAAGGCTTTTTTTCTTAACAGGCAAAAATAATAGCTCATGTCAAGATTTCAGGGTAAAGTTAACATGACCTTCAGGCCTCGGTGTGGCAGATGGCAAGGCTTTTTCATGTGTTTTTGTGTCTTCCTTTAAAAAATCAGTTCATTCATGGACCCAGTCATTCAGTCACAGCATATCTGCCATCCAGTATCAAGCCAGTAAGGATTCAGAAGTGAGTAGGACATATTCCTTGTCCTCAGTTTGTTCACAGAATGGGAAAAACAGTCCAAGAAATGGACAGTTACAAGCCAAGAAAAATATGTGGAGTTGACCACTGTGGAACTGCCTCTGGAAAAAGATTTGTAGATAAATGGCTCAGCCAGGAAGTCGGGGCTTCCTCCTCGCGTGCATGATTGAGTTGGGCACCCACACATCTTGGGCCTGTGCTGAGCCTTCCTAAAGATACTACTTGCCTCTCTTCTTTCTCTAGGCCTCAGTTTCCAAAGCTGTACAAAAAGGGACTCTGAGGAGATTTTTTCAAAGGCCCTATTAACTTCAAACAACCTATGAGTCCTCAATAAACAGTAAAACAACCAGTTACAAAAACAGGGGTTATTGAAACTTGCATGTCAGCTGCACCTGGGTTGGAGATGCTCATCAAGTGCTCCTAGAGGGAGACCTCAGCACTTTATGTGAGCACAACTTAGGGAGTCTCTATTCTTTTTTAAGGGGAAACTGAGCTGCCATTGTTGGGTACCCACATACAGTTATTATCATGCAGACATGGTTGTTTCTTTCATGCTTCTCTCTTTCTCTCTCCTCTTTCTCTCTCTCTCTTCCCTAGTGAAATCTCTCAGAGTGATTCCCTGGAAAAGATAGAAGCTAATGCCTTTGACAGTCTCCTCAATTTATCTGAAATGTAAGCATCAGCTAACAGATAGTTTATTGCCGTACACTATTACCCTCGCTGGCTGGAGCCCACTCGGTATTTGTATTCAAGCATCCGCTGCGAGGAATCCAAGAGGAAAACACTACAGCAATTACCAGGTCTGGGCAGGCACTAATTTCTCTCACTGCAGTGGCCTGAATGTTGCCATGGTGACAACTGCTTCTCCCTGGGAGCTGTATAAACTCTGAAACATCACAACACAAAGTTGGAAATTAAAATTGACGTTGTGGGGTCTTGCCAAGTAGCTCTTTTTTTCTGTGAAGGAGGGTCTGGAGTACTTGGAATAGTGAGGGAATTTGGAAAGGAGCTTAGAGATCATGAATTGGTTTACTGGGAACTGTTCGGGGCACATTCGTTTATTGAGTCAATGGTTCTTGGCTACCTATCCCATAAAATCTCTATGTGGGATAACTGTATGTTGGGTTTGCTGTGATGTTTTAGAATTGATTCTTAGATGTCCAAGTTATTACTTGTCCCTAATTGACAAAAACCAAAGAGAAAAGACTAACTTGATTACATTTTTCCATTGATAAATATACTTGTTGCAGAGGACAACTTCCTTGCCTGATGTTCCATACAAAGTTTGTTCTTAAGTGGACTGGAGACAAAGTACAGTGGAGAGAGCATTTGCCTTGCACACAGCTGAAGCAGACCCAGGTTCAATCCCCAGCACTCCACTGGTCCCTTGTGGTCCACTTGTGACCCCTGAGCATAGAGCCAGGAGTAAGCCCTAAGCCCAATTGGGAGTCAGTCACTTCCAGCTCCCTGCCTGCCACCACCACTACCCAAACAAAACAAAACAATACAAAAAAGTATTCAAACTGGAATGAGAAGTCAGGTCTTATGACTCCCAAGTCCAGTCTTTTTATCCCGATATTTGATCCAAACTGAGTTTCTGCAAAGGTACCCAAACTCCATCTGCATATTAGTTTAAAAATTTGGTAAGATAGGGGTGAATATTAGCAGCAAACCATTTGGGGAGAAACTTGGGCATTTATTTGTTATGTCACTTAATCATCACAGTCACCTTGCAAAGCAGATAATTAATGGTCTCTTTACTCAGGAAAAGGCATGGAAACTGAGACAGATCAGCTCAAAGAGCTTTTAACAGAGGCAGGGCTGCAAGTCTACACTAGCTCATCTTCAGTCAAAGCATGCTCATTGTCCATGCAGAAGGCTAGGAATGATCCAGTTAGCAATATGATCTACCGAGAATCAGTCATTGGTTGTTATCAAGAGTTTGCCCAGTCCAGGACCAAGTGATGTTGGAATCCAAAGAAGGTAAATGATGAATCAGGAGAGGGCTATTGCCCAGAAGGAAGACTACCTCCACCAAATATCATAAGACATCCAAAATACAGACATTTAAGTATAAAAAAGACATATTGCAATATGATTCCAACTCTTTATCCTTATTCCCATAGAAAAAAAGAGAAAAATAAAACCACAAATGTTAAAAATTTTAAAAAGTGGACTTGGTTATGAAACAAAATTGTGGAAAGTTTATTACAATTATAGAGGTCATTTCCTCCAACTGGAAATCTGCTGTTTTAACAGACTTCCCAGGTGAGACTGACATCATTTAGATGGAGAAACCATCAGAGAAGTTACGATAAATAAATCTGCCAAATGCAAAGCTGCATTCACCAGAGAATAAAAAATAAAATGCTCTAAAGGAAAGTTTATGGATTTTCTCACCCCGAAAAAGATGCCCCGAATTGAAAGTATGAGTGCTGCCGTGGCTCTCTGTTTTGTTCACATCTGTATCGCCACCTCCCAGGAGAGGGTCAGATCCGTGGAAGCACTTGGTGGATTTTGCAACATCCATTGAAGTGATGGCGTTTAATGAGTGTTCCAAGGTCAACCCCGTAAAGATCATTAAGAGATAAGAGTCCCTTCCCTAGCACCCATATAATGCCCTGTGTGGTATGATTGTCAGTTGTAAAAACAATTACCAAAAAAATGCCACTCGTATAAAAAAAAACATAAAAGTTGGAACTATTCACCAAGAGCAAGCCTGAGTGCAGAGCCAGGAATAAGCCCTGAGAAATCCAAAACCAAAGAGTGAAATAGAATCTTGTTGCTCATAGGGGGCCAAAGCAGTAGAACAGCAGGTAGGGCACTTGTATGTGGCTGACCTGGGTTCGATCCCCGGCAATTCACAAGGTTTCCAGCACCCCACTAGAGAAATCCCTCAGTGCAGAGCCAAGAGTGAGAACTGAGCACCAGTGGGTGTGGCCCCAAATGAACAAAAAATAATAGTAATTTAAAAGTTGGATATAAGGGTTGGAGAGATAGTTCATGTTGCCAAACACTTCTAACATGTATGAGGCCCTGTATTCTATCTTCAGCCCCTCATGACCCCTCTCCCCAGCACCACCAGGCAAGCCCTGGTGGTCCACAGGACCATTGAGTCAAAGCATCACACCCGCTAATCTGCAGGGCCATGTGGTGAGCCACCAGAGCCCCTCACTAAGCCAAGCCTCCCCAGAAGTGGTCCTGACTCCATCCCTCACCCACAGCACTTCCCTTATTTTAAAACAAAAAGCAGATGGAACAAGACCTCAGCAGTGGGCTACCTGTAGGAGTTGGAGATGAGCATTAGGCCTAGTGTCTAAGAACTGGGTTCACGTGCAAGTTCTGCTACTTCAACTGTATGACTAGAAATGAGCCATTGGACTTTTTTCATGAACTATCACAACAAGCAGTGTGTTGGAGGACAGAACAGGAAGTAAGGTTCTTACCTTGGACAAGGGCAACCGTGGTTCTATCCATGCTACCACTCATGGACAGGTAGCATGGGTTCACTTCTGAGCAGAGTCAGGAATGCCTCTGAGTACCAATCAATGTCACACAAAGAGCACTCAAAAATTAACAATAATAACCTTTAGTATTGGTTGAAACCTTACTGTGAACCAGATACACATATTTCCTTCTCAAAATGGCCCTAGGAGGAAACCATGCTGAGGGTGATGTATCTAAAGTCATACAGTTAATAAAGCCAAACACAAGCCAGAGTCATCCATCTAACCAACACACTAAATTTTTTTCATCGACCAATAATAATTGAATCCAAAGAAGACAGAACCCAATAACTACAGATACTCATCAAAAGGTCAGAATTATTGGGGAACTAAGATAAGGGCAATAACATCAATGATAATTCCTCCGCCTATTCCTATTATTCATTACCTAGCTGTGAGCTAGGAGAGTTTCTACTATCATCCCAATTTTTGAAAGGAACCACTGACCCAAGAAAATTAGGAGACAGGCTGGAGAGACAGTACAGCAAAGGAGGCATTCGCCTTACACATGGCTGACCCAGGTTTAATCCCCAGCATCACATATGGTCCCCAACCCTGAAAGGAGTGATCCCTGAGCATAGTGTCCTAAGCAAAATTCAACCAGAGTTGGGTATGACCCCCAAACAAAACATCCCCCAAATTAAGAAGACTGGACATTCTCACATAGTAAATCGTCTGTAAAATAGCTGCTGGTCTGCTATGAAGAAGGGCTTGAGTAGCTGGTTTACACATTTCCTCTGGGAATAAAGTCGATGTCACCCCAAATGTACAGGCTCTGCCATGGGGCAAGACCTACTTGGCAAGAGCACTAGATGTTATGGCTTCCCGAGGGATGTAGGATGGAGCTTACTTTGGGAGTGATCGTTCCACCCTCCTCCACAAGAGCTGGTACCATTTTCACCATCCTCCTCTGGTGACCACGATCTGGTGCATTCCAAACAATTCACACCTTAAACCATTACCTATTCATTTCTTTCTCTCCACAGACTGATCCAGAACACCAAAAACCTGGTGTCCATTGAGCGTGGAGCATTTACAAATCTCCCCCGGTTAAAATACCTGTGAGAAATTTTACTTTTTAAGCAATTAGGGAAGGGAAGGTGGGTATCACGGGAAAATAATTAAAAGACTGGGAAGAAATTGTTATCCACACACCTCGCATTATATGCATGCGCATTGCCAGTCTTCTATTTCAGTTGGAATCAGCATTATTTGTTAGCCATAACACTGGTGCTTTCAAATTTCTTAGAAGTGGCTCCATGGGGTCAGAAAGATAGTACAGAGGTTAAGGTGCTTCCCTGGCACGTAGCTGACCCGGGTTTAATCCCTACGACCACACATAGTCCTTCAGCTCAGCTACCCCACAAAGGAAATTCATCCCAACACTGGCTGTCCCAAAAACCTAAGAAGAATATCACCCTTTGCAGTGATTTTCAAAGCTATTGGTGTGAATGGGAAGTGATGACACTTCAAGTGGATAAATCAGCATCTTTAAGGTGAGGTGATGACATAGAATCTCTAAGGTAAGATGGTAAGGTGATGTGAATATGGGAAAGAAAATTCAGAGCTGACCTCATTTCTGACTGAGAATTACTGATATTTATCTAATTTTACATTCAGTAGGTAAAAAACATTTTTAAGTGATGCCTGAAGGTAGGCAATCTGCCATATAAAGTAAATCATTATTTTCTATTTCCCTTTAAATCAGTACATTGGGGAAAATGTAATTGATGCAACAGAAAAAGACAGGCCAAAAACATATATGAAAAAGATCCAAAAGTCCTAACTTTCATCCTAGCTCCTAGATCTCTAAATCAGAGTAATTAGAAGGCCAGAAAGATAGTACAGGGGCAGGGCACTTGCCTTGCACAAGCCAACCCAAGTTTGATTCCCTACCATACTATGTTTAGTCCACCAAGAACACCAGGAGTTGTTGGGAAATGTACATTGGTGAAGAGATGGGAACATTGTATGACTGGAACCCAATCATGAAGTCTTGTAACAGTGTTACAAGTGCCTCAGTTAAAAATAAATAAATATTTTTTAAAAAAAAAGACCACCAGAACTGGTTCCTGATCACAAAACCAGGAGAAAGCCCTAAACACTGCCAGGTGTGTCCCCCAAACCCTAATTAATTAACAGGCATCACTAGATCAATTCCTCTTTTAGTTCCAGGAGCCTCAAAATACTGAGTTTCCAATCTTTTTGATAGAGGCCATTCTCCCTGGTGTGCGGTGACAGCTCACCATAATTATGATTTACATTTCCCTGTCATCAGTGATAGGGACATATCTGCTCAGCCCTTCTACCCAGTTTCTAGTAGGGTTATTTGTGGGTACTTTATCTTGAATAGTAGACCTCTGTCAGGTATATGATATGCAAATATTTCTCCCATTCAGATCTGGATAGGATAAATGCTCATCAAAAAATGAGTGGATAAAGAAATTGTATATATATATATATATATATATATATATATATATATATGGGCTGGAGCGATAGCACAACGGTAGGGCATTTGCCTTGCGCACAGCCAGCCCGGCAGAGCCTGGTTCGATTCCTCCACCCCTCTTGGAGAGTCCGGCAAGCTACCGAGAGTATCTCGCCTGCACGGCAAAGCCTAGCAAGCTCCCCGTGACATATTCAATATGCCAAACACAGTAACAACAAGTATCACGATGGAGACGTTACTGGGCCCACTCAAGCAAATTGATGAACAACGGGAGGACAGTGATATATATATATATATATATATATACACACACACACATATATATATTACTCAACTGTGAGAAAAGATGGTATCTTGTATTTTTCAACAACACAAAACTAGAGGATGTCATGTTAAGAAAAATAAGTCAGAAGGAGAAAGCCAAATGCCAGATGAGCTCACTCATAGGTGGTATATAAAGAAACCAAGCAAGAGAATACACAGTGACCAACGAAAACAAATCCTTAGATTCTAATAACAGACTTGAGGTTACCAAGGGATAAAGGATAGAATGAGAAGGAACTGAGGGAGGGTGGTAGAAGCGACTGGCAATTTGTTGGTGATTGTTTTACTGAACACTGCTACACCTAAAACATAAAATGAACATAAAATATTATAAGTCATATTTCCACAATAATTAATTACATCTGACAGCCTCCAATAGTTGAACATGTTGTTGATTAAGCCAAACACAATAATTTTTATTTTAATGTGAAAATAGTTTTCAACATGTCTTTATATTGCTTTTTATCGTTATGCCTAAAAATACTTTGACTCACTCTCCCCCACAATTCCCACCCTGCCCCAAATCCCAGGAGCATCTGTAACACAGGCATCCGAAAGCTTCCAGATGTTACGAAGATCTTCTCCTCTGAATTTAATTTCATTCTGTAAGTACTAGGCTGATTGCTAAGCATAACGGATTCTAATTTGCAGCTAAATTTTGGAAAGTAAATATTTCTCATTTCATTCTCAAGGGAAATTTGTGATAACTTACACATAACCACCATACCAAGAAATGCTTTTCAAGGGATGAATAACGAATCTATAACACTGTGAGTAAACTCTTAGACTTGTGTTCTGTCATTCATGGCCTGTATTTTCGTACTACTAGCTGCAGGTGAGTTCTTCCTTATCTTTTACCATCCTCCTCTCTTGCCAGTGGCATTCTTCTTGACCTAAATTGCCAAGGGTAAGAGAAATTGGGTGGGATTGCATCTGGGTCATATGTTCACATGACAACCAACCAAGCTATTCCATTTAAAATTCATCAAATGTGTCCTGAGAACTGACAGTGACCAAAATTCCAACTGATGAAATTGTTCACTTCATCAGTGGAATGCTTTGAAGTTGGGAAGAGACAGCCTGGAGGGGAGTGACTGCCCTGGTTAAAGAAGGTACAGAAGTTTCAAGCTTCCACTGAGAAGACATGCTCTAATAAATGATCCATGGGAAATGCCTTCCCTTTTTCACTTTGATTTTTCACCTTCCTTTTGGGACCTGTTACATCATTTCTGGAGTAACACTATGGGTATGGACCCATTTCCTACATCACAAATGATGTTATGCCATGTAGTTGACCAATAGTCATCAAATTACCAGGCACAGACCCACGGCCTTTCATGTGCCCTCCTGGTCCTAAGAGCCACCCAGGGTGTGACTCATGGACCAGCAGTAACATCATTCGGGTTAGAAATGCAGGTGCTGCCCCACCCCCCAAACAATACCTCATAATTCTGCTTTCTTGCAAGGTCTCAAGTGATGCACAGGCATATTGAAATTAGAGTTATCCTCCAGATAATCTATTCTCTTCAGAATACACCTGCCTGGCTTCCTTCATGCATCCTACCCTGCCATCCTCACACAGGGCACTCCCTCTCTGCCCAGCCATTTAGAAGCAGCCTTCCGGTCCCTGTCTGGCATCTATCCCAGTGACCCAGATGCAAATCTGCTCCCAATATCCAAATCCTTCTCACTCTTTTTTGCTTTGGCTAGAGCCCATGGCAGTATCCTGATGATCAATAAAGGAGTTCAGCCTTACAGAAAGAAAGAGGGCGCTTGGTTGGACGAAATGACCCTGAAAAGAGAAGGCAGCTGTGAAGCCAGGGAAGGGAATGGTCAGAGAAATCAGAGGATTCTTTTTTATATCAATAGCAGCTAAAAATTGGCATCAGTGGTATACTGCATTTATATCAAACTTTCACTTTGTGTAGGTTTAATTCAACACATCTAACCATCAGATTACAAAGCTCTGGCCAATGTAGCCCCAGCTCAGTGTGTTACAATCAAAAGAACATGGCACAGCAACCTCAGCTGACTGAAAATAACTCAAATTCTTTACTTAAAACTCTTGAACAGCAGGAAGGAAACTCTAGATCCTAGGACAACTTTTCTACAATCTTGCAACTCCTCCACTTCCCTTTTTCACTATGGCAGTTCCGGCTGTGTGTCAAGTATTTCTGACTCATGACTGCATCTGGATGTGGAACTCTCATTCACCGTGTCCTCTGTGAGAAATACAGTATCCACAGAGTAAATCCTGGGGTAGAGGAGGTACTATATGCCTTGGAATTTGGAGTCCTTCCAAGGCTGTTGAGAATGAAAAAAATATATACAGGAACTGGAGAGATATAAAGCAGGTAAAGCACTTGCCCTGCAAGCGGTTGACCTGGGTTCAATCCCTGACACCCCATCACTGTCACTGTCCTCCCATTGTTCATCGATTTTCTCGACTGGGCCCAGTAACGTCTCCATCGTGAGACTTGTTACTGTGTTTGGCATATTGAGTACGTCACGGGGAGCTTGCCAGGCTTTTCCGTGCGGGTGAGATACTTTCAGTAGCTTGCCGAGCTCTCTGAGAGGGGCAGAGGAATCGAACTCGGGTCGGCCATGTTGGCTGTGTGCAAAGCAGACGCCCTACCCGCTGTGCTATCGCTCCAGCCTCTGACACCCCATATAGTCCTCCAAATCTGCCAGGAGTAATTCCTAAGCACTGTCATGTATGGCCAACCCCCTGCCCCCACCCCAAATAAAAATAAAAAGACCACACAAGATACATGTCCTCAAGAAATGAACCATCTCAATCACTGGAAGAGATGAAACAAAGAATATTACAAATCAGTGGCTATTTACTGTGAGTGTGTAATCCACAGAAAAGAAAAATCATGGAGAAAGCGAAAAACTGTTTTGGAGAACCTTAAACAAGTTTGATTTCATAGACCCTAACATTTATATAGACAAATGTTAAATTTTGTATTAGATTTTTTTCCCTTTTTTCCTTCCTTATTGAGGTACTGTTGCCTTATAGCATGATCCAAGATTCCAGTGTGAGTCCTTGGAAAGCAACATGGGAACAGTCTACATTAAGACCATCATGGAAAGCTCAATTCTAGACTTTAATATACCTCTGCCCCATAGTCATGTCTTATCAACTCCCTCCTTTCTTTCTGGAAATCCTAAATTACTTTTTTAATCCAAAATTTATTTTTGCTTTAATCTGTTTCTTTTCTCTCTGTCTACATATAAATGAGACCATTTGATGTTTGTCTTTCTCTGAGTTATTTCACAAAGCATGATAGCCCTTGATACACCTTTTTTTTTCCTTTGCTTTTGGGTCACACCCAGCAATGCTTAGGGGTTACTCCTGACTCTGCACTAAGAAATTACTCCTGGCGGTGCTTGGGGGACCATATGGGATGCTGGGGATTGAACCCGGATCGGCCGCATTCAAGGCAAATGCCCTACCCACTGTACTATTGCTCTGGCCCCTACGCTGCACTGCTAAGACTGACAGGAACCTAAGAGGTAGGGGCAACAAAGTCTATCTTCAGATGAGGAAACTGAAGCACTAAAGAGTTTAAGCAAATTGCCCAGGGTAAAGATTCGTACCAGAAGCAATCTGGCTGCAAAGTCATGTTCTTAACTAGTTTGCGATAGTACTGATCAAGAAATGGGGAACAAGTAAGGAAACACCATGAGCAAAAGCATGGCAATTTTCACGAGGGAAATAGGATGCAGCTTACCAACTAGGAACAACCATCCTGCTTAAGGGCATTGGACTGTAGAAGATCCTGAATGCCAGAATAAGGCATGGAGGGCTTAGAAGTATCTCTGAAGAATGGAAGGCATTCTAGCACCTTTGCCTTAAAGATCACAAGAATCTCTTTTGATTAAATTTTTTTAATTGAATCACAGTGAGATACACAGTAACAGAGTTATTCATGTTTGGGTTTCAGACATATAAATGTCCCAACACCTGTTTCTTCACCACATTTCCCTTTTGATTTTTGATCTAACTCCAAAATAACCAGGAAGCGATAGTTGCATTTTTGTAGTGACATGGAATAGGAATGAAAGGCCAGAAAACATGGAGAAAGTTCGTCAACAAGAAAATGAAAGGAGGAGCTGGAGCAATAGCACAGCGGGTAGGGCGTTTGCCTTGCACATGGCCAACCCGGGTTCAATTCCCAGCATCCCATATGGTCCCCTGAGCACCGCCAGGGGTAATTCCTGAGTATAGAGCCAGGAGTAACCCCTGTGCATCGCCAGGTGTGACCCTAAAAGCAAAAAAGAAAAAAGAAAAGAAAACGAAAGGTACCAGAGCCCATAGGGTTTTCTGGTCTGCAAAAATGAACCACCCCGGGGCTGGAGAGAAAGCACGGGAAGTAGGGCATTTGCCTTGCACACGGCCAACCCGGGTTCAATTCCCGGCATCCCATATGGTCCCCTGAGCACCGCCAAAAGTAACTCCTGAGTGCAGAGCCAGGAGTAACCCCTGTGCATAGCCAGATGTGACCCAAAAAAAAAAAAGGGTCACCCCGCCGAAGTCAGTGAGGGACCAAACATTCCTTTCCCCACATCCCATTTCAGCGCTTTGTGGCATTTTTATTCTGGGCCCATTAACTTATGTTGGTTATGATTTGAAGAAGAATAGTGCCTAACAGCAGAACTTAATTGCCCCACCTCTGAAGTTAATGAGCACTGCAGATCCGTCTCCACCAGGAGTCTGTGGGGGCATTGTGTTTCTGTTCCCCTCCTGACTCTTGGCCCTTCATCTGGAGGGGGGATGATTAGTCATTTGCCTGGCACTTGTTTGCAGCTGAATGGGCCCTTCTGTAAGAGAAGAATCATGTGGAGTACCCCTCTGAAGAAAAGGGTATTACCCTTAAAGAGGAAAGCCTTATTTTCTCAGCTATAAAGTTCAGCTCCCTAATTAGAAAATAATGAAAGCAAGACTTCTCTTTTCACTAGTGGTATTTCAGGTCTTGCTTTTCATGGAAACTTTCCTGCCCATCCCCCTACCCAAATCTTTACCAACTGTGAACTCATTTAATGAAAACAAAACACTTCACTTGGTGCTGGAAAAACTCAGTGGGGCTAATGCTCAAACTATGCATTATACTCTTATATCCCTTTATAGCCACTTTGACTTTTCATTAAATCTCCTCAAGAGGCCACCCGCACGCCGCCCCCGAGGGAGCAGAATTTGTCTTTACCGACTACAAATCTCAAAAAGGAGACAACCTTGAGTCACGTCTAAACTACGCAAAGGAAAGGAAAAATCATGGTGATTAATTCTCAAAGAGCCTGCAGAGAAAGTAGAAATGGAGTGCTAGGTTCTAAGACTGACTTTGTGTCTGACCAGCCCCATCACCCTGATGAGCCTTTTGTCTGTCTATTCAAAGGAAATACTAATACCTCAGTACTAAGAACTCAGTGACATCGTGTCCATTGCACTGCACTACCACAATTAGAAGTCAATATTCTGCAAGCTGGCTGGAGAATACACTAAAAACTCATCTCAGTGGTAGGAATTGAATCCAGGCTTTCTGCATGCAAAGTCTACACTCCAGCCCTTGAGCCAACTTTCTTTTTGTAGATTTCTTTGATTTAGAAATCCAATCAAAGATGATACATGGCATTTTTATTGCAGCATCCATTAGTACCTTATCTAGATTCACCAACTATTAAGTTTCCCATGCTAACTCCATCTCTGTAGTTGTAGGTACATAAAATATATTTCCCTTTTGCCAAATTATCTATGAAATGATATTTA